TGTGATATTAGAACAGAATTGAAGCGATGTAGTCTTTACTTACATTTGATGATGCCTTATTTTTTACACATTCATAACGGATGTTGTTCCCTGAAGAAATAACAAAATATTAGTTAACCATCCGAACTCAAACATAGAAAACTCAATACATAACAGAAACAGCCACACAGCCACCCTATTATAATGGAACATAAGAAACACATGACATCCAACTTGTTACACATTTCATCAAAGCACTCAAATTGTATGTTAAAGAAATGTCTTGGTTTAGGATCTTAACAGCAACGTTTTGATAGAACTTTATGATATAATTTATTTTATGGATGGGGGTAATTTTCAAAAATATTAAACATCAATGTGTAATTTTAACGAAAAATCTGAAAAGTCTAATTCAGTAGAACGTTACATTTTTAATATCATTTTATACTGCGATATTTGCTTGGTATCTCTAAAGATATATTCGTTTCTGAAACCACAGAGTTTAATAAGATGCACAGAAAAAACTTACCACATATAAATTCCCGGACATTCTTCCCTTGCAGTTCAAACTAAGAATAAGATATAAGTAAATAAGAATAAGAAATAAATAAGTAAATGCTATAGACCAAAAAAAAAAGGCAGAGTTTTCTTTACATCTGTATTTGTTAAGTATTTCTGAAGTTGGCTAAGCAAATTCTCAATCCTATATAGGCTTTCAAAAATCTCACGAATTTATCGGCTATTCTTGCTTTCTAAAATATTGTTTTCTTTTTAAAATTTCTTTACTTGTTGAATTTTTCTTTAAAAAAGAACTCCATAATTAATAGCGTTAGCACTGTCTGGATAAACATAACTTAATATTTGGCAACAAAATGTAACATCTTTTATAGAAGTACAACAGTATGAAACACTCAGGTGGTCAAACATTAAAAGATAAGTAAGTTACACAAGATAAAAATATATTTCCAGATTTTACATCAAAAGGGAAATACAGTGTAAAAAATCAGTTAACTTTAAAAAGCTGAAAACGCAGTAACTACTGCAGCTCACGTGTCTCAATGCATGCTGTGATTCGATTCACAAGGTGATGTAGTATTGTTATATTACTACACTTTCTATACTTAAAAAAAGAAAAATACTAACGTAGACATTTTATTTTCAGTAGTGATAACTTCGACATTGTTCGAATTTAAGAGAGAAATGTTGTAAACAGGCTAAGAAGGCGAATGTTTGTGATGTATAGATCCAACCCTACTTGTACTACAAGTTGTAGGCTTAGTAAAGGCCTACTCTGTCTATGAGAACAGTATATGGACCTGAAAAATGTTCATACAAAAAAGCGAATAAAAAGGAGTAATGAATAAATAAATAAGTCTAGAAACGCACAATACAGTATCAAAATATAGATATTGACTTAAGTAACCACGTAATTTTGAAATAAATATAGTTTTATTTGTATATCTACAGCACGCGAGTAAATAATATTCAAATATATAGGCTTGACTACTGACCTTATCATCTTTGAAATTCACTTTCTTGTCTCCAGCATTTCGACATTCCTAGAATAATAAGTTTCTTCAGTTATTGGTTAAAACTACACTAGCACGTGTATATTTTAGGTTCATAAAATAGTCCAGATTTGATTTCGTTCAGAAAATTCTACATTATTCTGAGGTTCGAGGCACTTATTTTCAAAACCATATATTAGGAAACTTCAGTGGAAAAAAAATGGATTTTTACCATGACATCAAGACAAACAGTGTGAGAAATAACAATAAGTTCGTAAAATACAAGATCTCGAAAACCAGTATGCTTAATTAATTTTAGTTTCTCTGCATATAATGTTAAAATAATTACATGATTAAACGGTTTTCGTAGTCAAAAAATGACAAAGGACAATAAAAACTGACCCACGATTTTCAAACTATGTCAAAAATATATAAAAATAGAAAGTATTTGCGAGGAGGATAAATTCTTTGGAACAAAAAATTTGCTGCCAGGTAATTTCGCTAAACATAAGCATTGAGAGAGAGGTAGATAATCCTGTTGTTTTGTAATTTTTGATGCACATTTCACTATCATCTGGACTCGGCATGGCCGGGTGGTTAAGGTGCTCGACTCGCAATCTGAGGGTCGCGGGTTCGAATCCCCGTCACACCAAACATGCTCGCCCTTTCAGCCGTGGGTCGTTATAATGTGACGGTCAATCCTACTATTCGTTGGTAAAAGAGTAGCCCAAGAGTTGGCTCTATACCTGTCACTATCATGTCGTCAAGAGAATGGTCAGGTATGTTGAAATGCTCTCATCACCGCCCATCGCCAACTCTTGGGCTACTCTTTTACCAATGAATAGTGGGATTGACCGTCACATTATAACGTCTACTCGACTGAAAGGGCGAGCATGTTCGGTGGGGTGAGGTTTCGAACCCATGACCCTCAGATTGCGAGTCTAGCGCCCTAGCTACCTGGCCATGCTAGGCCTAGATTAAAGGGAATGCAGCTAACCAACACCGCCCACCACAAACTCTTAGACTACTTTTTATCAATGAATAGTGGGATTGATTATTACAGCATAACACCTCCAAAGCTGAAAGAGTGATCATGTTCGGGGGATTCGATTCCTCGACCTGCAGGTTGCGAGATAAGAGCAGTAACTACTAGACCATGCTAGGCCCCGGCTCAATGGGATACTTAATTCAGTGTTAGTAGTGGGTTAGAGCGTGAGAGTTAGTGCTTCTGTTTGTCAGGAGGCTAGTCAGTCAGTGTTTGTTATCGATAAATTAGCGAGGAAATTCTGCGAGTAAGTTGAGAAGTAATTTAAGCGTACATACCATTAGTCTTAAAATTTCTGTTGAAACGTTGTTTGTGAAGTTAGACCTACAAATGGACGCATTTAGCAAACTTAAAATACGACCCAAAACTTCCCTCTAGTCTATCGCTTCAAAATTAGGAACGGCTAGATCTGATAGCCTTCAAATAGCTTTGCGCGAAATTGAACATTTTATCGTTACTCGTTTTCTATTTATTACAAAAACTTCTAAATCTTGACTTAATGCCTAGCTCTCTATAAACAAACATCAAAATTAAAATATTGAAAATATAGCTTACAACAGCATGGATAATATTATAAGGAAAGATAGAACAGAAAGGTTATTGGCAGTATAATTCTATTTTATTCCAAGCCTTATACTTTAGTTTGCCTGTTGTCAGTAACGAAACTGTTTTAGTGTACTAAGCCTACTGGCTTAAGTTAAATTTTGACTATTACATCTATACTACTAGCAGGGCAGTTACAATACATTACTAGCAGGGCAGTTACAATTCATTACTAGCACCAAGAAGTTTCAGAGGGCTGCCAGAAGAACTTCCCTAGAGACTAACTTTTGTGCCAGAACAATTGCCCTTGTAGCACATACTGACAAACAAATAAGGCAGGCTGAAGCTGTCTATTGATCACTAGTGTTAAGTCGTTGTTTTTATACTTTATAGTTTCTGTGTTGTTCAAACTGAACAACATTGTTGAGATTATACTTGTAGAATAAAATAGAGAGTTGAAACTATTTAGTGGATGATTCAGTTTTTCATCTTAACACAGATTCTCTCCCTCAACAGAAGCTACTCGGTGGTAGGAATCAAATGTAAAAACTCCAGAAATATCCGATTTTGGTGAAAAGTATAAAAAATTGTAGCATAAGATGAGATACGACGATCACAGTTTACAGTTTCCAAATTGGACAAATCATGACCGAGTTAGGATTGGCTACATCATCAGCAGAAGCCCCATAGTTAATGACAATACTAGTTGTGTACCCGACGGGTCTGCTACTTGAGCCTTCTTTTCTTCTTCTTCATCCATCGTTGTATTTACTTATCAGAACAGAACCCAATAGATCTTCAACAGATACAGATAGATAATGGCTGGAGACGGCTTAAATGGGTAATGAAGA